GTAGTCCCAGCTACTCGGGAGGCTGAGGCAGGAGGATCGCTTGAGCCCAGGAGTTTGAGGTTGCTGTGAGCGAGGATGACCCCACGGCACTCTAGCTTGGGCAACACAGTGAGACTCTGTCTCAAAAAAAAAAAGAAAAAAGAGAGAGAGAAGTGGACCAGAGTGAGGGACAGTGACGAGAGGGAGGGGCTATGTTAGCTGCGGGGGGTGGGGAGGGGCTCACCAGTGAGGTGTCGACTGAGCTGAATCCCTGAATCACATGCAGGGGTGAGGCAGGGGAGCACCCCAGGCAAGAAAGACTGCAAGTGCAAAAGCCCTGAGGAATGTTCTAGAAGCAAGAAAAAGGCTTCTTGGCAGAGATAAAAGTGTTTTTCTTTGTTTGATTTTTGTAGGGAGAGGGGCTTGCTGTGTTGTTCAGGCTGGAGTGCAGTGGTGTGATCACAGCTCACTACGAACCCTGAACCCCTGGGATCAAGGGATCCTCCTGCCTCAGCCTCCCAAGTAGCTGGGACTATGGGTGCGCACCACCGCACCCAGCTAATTTTTAAATTTTCTTTTTTTTATGTAGAGACGGGTCTCACTATGTTGTTCAGGCTGGTCTCGAACTCCTGGGCTCAAGGGATCCTCCCACCTCAGCCTCCCAAAGTGCTGGGACTACAGGTGTGAGCCACTGTGCCTGGACGGCAGGGTTTGTTAAACCTTTGCCTCTTCCACTTAAAGGATAGGAGACTCAGGGCTCCCCCAAGGCCAGCAAAGGGAGAGGCCACAGGGCACAGCAGTTGAGTGCATGGCCTGTGAAGCCAGACTGCCTGGGTTCTAATCCTGACTCCAGGCTGCCTGGGTTCTAATCCTACCTGCCATGTCACCTCGAGTAAGTTTCCTATCTGCGCTTATGTTCCCTCATTTATAAAACGGGGATGACATTAATACTAACATCAAAGGACTGCTGTAAGGCTTGAGCTAATAAGTACACGGGAAGTGCTTAGAAAGAGACCAGGCACACAGAGCATTAGCTTCTGTTTTAATTTAAACTGCTGTCAGTGGAACCATTTTCTCCTCCTCCTCCCCAGCTTCCCGCCTCAGGAACATCTCAGGACTGTCCCCCTCTCCACCCCTCACACCTGCCTCTCTCCCTGTGGGAAGAGGAGCAACTTATCTGAGGGGTGAGGCTGGGAAAAGAGGCACGAACGTCCCAGGAAGGGCTTCCTGCCTCTCACCCCACGGCCCACCCGTCCGCTGTTCCCACAGGACCCATCTCTCCTCCCGGGAGCCCTCAGGCCAGGCCGGCACCCTGCAGCCTCGCAGCCCACCCTGGGAGGCCACCTCCAATGCAGGAAGAAGGGCACAGGAAGCCCACGGATCGGACTTCAAATCGGGGCCGTGTTTTTCCAGTCAAGCTTTTCTGGCCATTGTGGTCCCCGCTGGACACCTGAAGCGGCGTCTCCATCGGTACAGAGCCGGGAGGGGAAAGAGGTGGGATTCGTGAGCCACCCCGACCCCCCAGGGTCTACAGAGCCACAGGCCTGGCTTCGGTCCCCCGTCCCCACTTTGTAAACCACCAGTCCTTCTGTGCCTGCACACAGAGCCCAGGGAGCGAGGCCCCGGAGGCCGGGCTGAGGGCGAGGGGCGGATTACCGTGGTGCATGAAGCCATTGTTGCACAGGCCCACGCCAAGCGCCACGGCCTCCTCCCGCGTCTGGCAGTCTCCCTGGAAGGGAACAAGAAGGGGAGGGCGTTAGGCAGGCCAGTATCCGAGAGGCTGAGCACGGCGGGTGAAAAGCCTACAAAGCCCCCGAAAATGTAGGCTCCACGAGGGCTGGGATCTTTTGTGTTACCGCAGTATCCCAAACACATGTTTGTGACAATTACTAATAAACGCCAAAAAAGATGATTTTATTGTACTTGTGATCAACGCTACAAAGGAAAAATGAGATTTTAAGTGGCAATGCTGGTTGCCTAGAAAGAACCCTTTCCCAGTCCCTCCCTAGTAGCGGAACCTACACCCATCTCCAGCCTCCCTTGCAGCTAGAGGTGACCAAAGAGATACCAGCAGAAATCAGAGGTAGGATGATCTGGCAGAACCTCCTTTTCTTTCTCTTCCTTCTGCCTGGAACAAAGATGTGACGGCTGCAACTCCCGAAATCAGCCTAGACCACAAGGTGACCTCACGGTTGGACACATGCTAAGGCAGGCAGGGCAGAAAGACACAGCGTGGTCCCCAAAGCTAGGATGAGACTGGCCTGGCAGCTCTGGACCTCCAACCTCTGGGCTCCTCTCACACAACAGAGCGTAAGCCCTGATTTGTTTCAGCCTCTGTAGTTGTGTCTCTGATACTAGAAAGAAAGTTCCATTGCTAACTGACCAAGCTCTAGCCAGTGAGACAGCTGGGGAAGCCTATCGGTGGCTTCTGCAAACCACCTTGCTCCCTGATAAACGGGAAAAGCAGCACCGCCCCTCCCTACCTGGGATAGAGTCATGGCCACCCTGTGATCGAGATGGCAGACACACCGAGACGCTAGGGACGGCAGAGTGAAGGATGGAAGGTTCTCGGGTCCTTGCTGACACTACTGAGTCCATAAACCAGCCCTGGAACCACCTAGTTCCACATTTCTTGGCAGGTGTCATCTGTTAAAGCCACTGTTTAGGTGGCTTTTTTACCTTTGCAACTGAAAACATTACAATCTGAACCAACGGATCTGGCTCATCTCAGGGCTTCCCTGAGACAGTGACATCCAACCCCAAACCTGAAGAATGAACGGGCGTGGCCTGTGCCCTGGGCATCTGCTGGTTCCACCTTGAGGCCAACTCTCCCAGGTGGAATGTCATCTTGGTGAGGCTGTCCATCAAAGTTTGCCACCCTCCTGGACAGCCTGAGGACACATGATCCCTGCTAAGCCAACGGATGCTCCCTGCCCCAGGAACACGACACCGGAGTGGAGGAACCCAAGGACAGGGAACAGTTCGTACTGGTTCTACCCAACAGCCAACAGCAGTGTCCTGAAGGCGGTATCCCTCAGCGCCTGCTGCTTGGAGCTTCCTGGTGCCAGTTCTTTCTTAAGCCTGCCTCCTGGGTCTCCCCAGATCTGGGAGCACCCCATCTTTTTCCAACGAGTTGTCTTCTTTTTTGTCCCCCTCAGATTAGCCAGTCTGTTTCTGTTGCTTGCAACCCAAATAACCTCAACTCATCCAGGCCACGTGTGCAAGTTGCACGTATGCACGTAGGAGCAGGGTGTCAAGCAGAGGGAACGGCAGGAGGTGGGAAGGAGGTCAGGAAAGCAGAAGCAAAGGTCAGGAGGTGGGAAGAAGCCCGGAGCGCAGGAGGAAACGTGGCATGGCTGGCAGGGGAGGACGGGTGGGTCGGGTCTGTGGCCAGGAGTTCATGCTGCTACGTCCCTGCTCAATCCTAAGTGCCGGGAACAGGGCCTGGCCTGGAGCCAGTGCTCAGTAAGTATTAACATTTGTTGTTTAAATAAAAGAGTCGTCAGCAGGGGCCAGGTCACGCAGGAGCTTGCGCTGAGGTCAGTGAGCCTCAGCTCCACTGGGACCGTCACGGGGCACGATCTCCTCTCACTGACTCCCAGAGTGAGAGATTCTGCGAGGCCCTGCCTGTCCCCTCTGCAGCAGCTGATGTTTTCCAGCCAGAGGAGACACGAGTGCTATTCAGAGGCTGCAGGACTCAGCCCTGGGAGAGGGCCTGGGGACAGCCTCTGAACTTGGTATGTCACCACATTGCCTGCCCTGGACTGACTCGAAAAAGACAAATTCCTCCCTCCGGACCCCAAGCCAGTGGCTGGAGGGCCAGCGTGCTCGGAGCCCTGCCAGCGCAGGCGGCTATGAGAGGCCACATCCGGAGCAGCCGCCTCCCAGCTGCGAGGGGCCAGCAGGGGACAGACAGCGGCCGGGTGGTGGGCAGGCCCAGCTCCACCGCCTGGGAGGCCCGGGCGGGCATCTGGAGCCCACCTGGCTCTCTGAGGCGCTCACAGCCCCATCTCCCCATTCTCCCCAAAAGGCCCAGGGGTGACCATCCCAGAGGCTCCTAAAGTTAGACCCGCAGCGTGTTCTCAGGCCCACAGTGAAACAGGAAGGGCCTGGATGCACCACCTGAAGAGGAAGCCCCACCCACCTGCCTCCAGCAGTCCCCGAAAGTGGCATTTTCTCCCACCTGGAGGAAGGTGCAGACAGGGAAACTGAGGCTCAGAGGAGCAGTTAGCTACCCAGGCTTGCAGCCAAGGTTCCTGTTCCTATTCATCCTTTGTTTCTTTCTCTGGTACCTCAGGCTGCCAGCAGGCTCTCTGCCTCCCCCACCCTGACCCCCACACCCGTGCTGAGAGCCCTGCTGCCCTCGCTGTGCCATCTGCCTGCACGCGGAGTCAGCGTGGCAGACTCCTGGACACGGTTCTGCAGAGCTGGCACAGCAGTCCGCAGCTCTGTGCCCTCCCGCACCTGGCTCCCTGGCCTGTCCTCCGCCCTCTCTCGCCCCAGCCACTGACCCCTGCCCGACATCTGACAGCCGCACCCTGGGGCACCCTGGAGCCCACGCAGCAAAGACCCCACAACCACCGAGAGCAGCTGGGGTCCCCAGGTTCAAAGCCTGCTCTGTCCTTGACCTTGGGCAATCCCTTAACCCCTCTGAGCTTTACTTCCTCATCTGCATTTTCATTTCTGTCTCAGATGTGCCCGGGGCTCTGCACGGCCTCTGCCACCCGAGCGGTGCTCCCTGCTCAGATTCCACGCTATCAGCTACCATTAGGAGCATCGTTACTGACTGTCAGGCAGGACAACCCCTCCCCACGCACAGAGTATCTCAGAGTGAGCATCCCGATGTCCGTGTGCCCCGAGGCAAGTCACATAACCTGAGCCTCAGTTTCCCCAGCAGTAAAGTGAGGAGAATAACTGTACTTTCCTCAGGTTGTTCTGAGGATTGAACGAGATAACGCACCAAGGAGATCAGAGCCAAAACAGAACATAAACTGTCTACCTAAGGCCTAATGCCTGCCTTATCCTCAGGGTTAAAAGAACCCTGATTCATCTGAGTAGCAACTAGAGAGCCCCTCCCAAGACACAAGGAATGAATCCCAAGGAATTCCACACCACTCTTAGCAACCCCTGTTCTCTTCCCAAGGGACTGGTTTGAGGGCATATGTGGGACCCATCTGGTCATGAGACCCTTGGGGGTGTGCAGGGCAGACTGAGGGACATTTCCTTCCCAAATACCAGAATGAAAAGTGCTCTCCAACTGTCTCTGCTGCCTGCCTTTGGCCCTAGTTCTGCACAGATGTGATGCCTGGAGCTGTGGCAGGCATTATGTGACTGTGAGGCAACTGGTAAGACAATACTAGGATAGCAGAAAACAAAGGTAGAAGACGCCTCATGCAGACAGCGTTGTTGACCTCTAGGACCACAAACTTCAGGCATTTAATTGTGTGAGGGAAAAAAGTCTTTACTGCATAAGTCAGGTTTCCTATTACGCACAGCCAAAAGCATGTCTAACTGATCTAGCAGGTATTCAATCAACATTTTAAAGAGGTAGAATGACGTAGAAGTTAGAAATGAAGATGTGTCCCTCCACCCCAAAAAAAAAAACCTCCTAAACTATAAACATTATGTGTTTTTCTCACTTTCCTGCTAAGGTACAAGGTGGGGATGACTCTTGAAATCACGACTTGCTGTAACCAGTCTTCAAGGTCACATCCTTGCCACCGACCTCTCCCCATGGAGAGACCCACACAGGCACGCTCACCCTCCGCCCCCTTCCCCGACCCGGAGTCGAACGCCAGCTGCCTCTCCAGCAATCTCAGGGAAGCCACCCTCCCGCACCAGCTCCAATTAGCGACCCCGTGTCCTCACACCAGGCCAAGCCACGGAAAGGCCGCTGGAGTGGACGGACACATGTGGCCAGCTGCTACCTTTGCTCCACATCCTTCTGCTGCCTCCACTTGCAGCAAGATGCTGGCTGGGGGTTGGGGAGTCCTCGGGACCAAGTGACAATGACTCAAGCTATTCCTGGGGAGCCTGTGGCCAGCACCACGGCTTCCCTGACAAGACTGGCCACGAGAGGGCCGCCGCCGTGCCCAACACCAACCACCAAAGAGAAACTATCGCCAGCAATGGCCTTCGCTGGTTCCTCCTTCCCCAGCCCCTGACCGCTGGAGTGCTCCATGGAGGCCTGGCCTCCCCGAACCTGCCACTTCCACAGCCTCCCGGCTCAGTAAACCGCAGCTCGAGCCAAAGGCTTTGGCGTCATCTCAGGTCCTCTGTGTCCCTCACGTCCCACAGCCCATCCATCGCTGGCACCCCTGCCAGGTCCACCTTCAAAACATCCAGAATCTGACCACTTCTCCCGCCGTCCCCACCACCCTGCTCTCAGCCACCACCCTCCCCTGCCTGGAATTCTGATGCTGGCTCCTCCCTGCTGCCAGCCTCGTCCCTGCAGCCCGTCCTCACGCCCAGCCAGAGGGGGCCTGTCTGAGCCCATCGCCCCTGTGCTCAGAGGCCTGCGTCATCGGTGCACGTGGCTTCCCCGTCACTGCCTTCCCACGGCCTCCCCAGCCACAGGCCCCCTCTCTGCATCCCCAACGCAGCAGCCTCCACCTCAGGGCCTCTGCGCTGCTCCCCAGACGCCCCCCGGGCTCGCTCCTGCCTCCCTCAGCTCTCTGCCCCACTACCCCTGCTCAGCGCGGCCTCCCCGACCACCCCCACCTCTGTGTTCAACACAATCCCCTCCTGCTCCCACACGCTGTCCCCTCCACCTCGCTGGCACCTAGAACCGGCGGACACGTTATACATTTTACTTATTTTTCTTATTCATCACGTGTCTCTCCTATCCCTCCCCAGAATTTAGGACCTGCGGCAACAGGAACTTCTGTCTTATTTCCTTCATTGTCCCTAGAACCTAAAACAGTGCCTGGTACCTAGTAGGTGCATAAAAAATAGTTTTTTAAAAAAGAAGAATGAGCTAATGCGCCCTCTTGTCTAATTTCCCTACAATCTCTTCTTACCCCTCGTTTCAAATACCACCCAAAAGCTGACAAGGAACAGACCACCCGCAGCGGACAGCCACCTGAGGTCCAGGTGTGTGAAGCCTGCCCTCGCCCCCGCCCACCCGCTGGGAAGCCCAGTGGCACCCCCCGTGCCCAGAAAGAAGGCCGCGTCCTCCCTGCACACCCGCGTCCGTCCTCCCTGCGCACCCGCGTCCGTCCTCCCTGCACACCTGCGTCCGTCCTCCCTGCGCACCCTCGTCCGTCCTCCCAGCTCCGACAAGGGCACTTCCATCTGCCCATCGCCCTGGATCCCAGGACCCATTCTCGATTCCCAGCCCATTCCCACAGCAGTGTGTCCCATCCACTCCAGCTCCAAACACTTCCAAGCCCCTTCCTGCCCTGTCTGTGACCCGCCCACCCCCAGCTCACGCCCGGGGTCCACCCAGGAGCCATGTCCAACTACGCTTTGAAACCAACAAGCAGCCCCGCGCACCAAAGCAGCTCAGCGGGAAACATGAGGCCACAGGGAAGTCCACGATGGTGAGAAGTGGCTGTCTCGGAGGGCCCTGGGACCCTGGCTTGCCTGGGCCCTGACCGAAGCACCTAAACCGCTAAACAAACACCCCTGTGGTGCCCATAGCCTGTTCCAGCACATCGGGAAGGCGGGACTGCACAGACTGCCACCCCCACTTGTTTCTTGGTCTTACTGTTCCCTGTGCCCCCAAATCCCTCCACAATTTCTTCAGTCTTCTGCACTGCAGGTAATTCCGAGCCCCCGATTCCTCTGTGAAGGAGACGAGGAACAATAATAATAATAACAGCTGCAGTTACTGAGCGTTCCTCCGTGCCAGGCACCGCTCTGAGCACTTTACATGACCTCCCTGAATCCAGCCAGCAAACTGCTTTCAAATGAAATGAAGTTTTTATGAACGCTAAATTTAACAATTAACGGGCTGACATAAAGCTGCGCTCTGTAGATGTTTAATTAAACAGTTAGCCATTGTGATTTCACGGGTGTCTCCTGTTCCTTTTACAGACCACGAATGGACATTCCTGTGAGCTCCCTGAAACATACACAGAACCAAAATACAAGTGGGTCGGACAGGCTTGTCCAAGCCTCAGCTTTGCCACTGCAAGGCTGTGCGCCCTTGGACTAGGCACTCGGCCTCTCTGGGCCCCAGGTCCCCCATGGGTAAATGGGCTGGGGGACTCAATCAGACAATGCACGAAGCCTGCCAGGGTCTGGCCCAGAGTAAATGTCCTGTGATCGGGAGCCATAAAGGAGAAGGGACGGGCAGACAGGTGTGTCTGTGGCACCCGATGGAGCGAACACCTTTGGGAAGTTGCAACAACACTGATGCACAGATTTTCCAAGCCTCTGGCCAGCTCCTACCCACTGGAAACTTTTCTGAAAGGAATGACTTGGCGAGCTCCAAACAGAGGCTCCAGTTTGGTGCCGGGATGAGACCAACCCATCCCAGTTTGCCTGGGACCACACAAGTTTTAAAACTGAAGTCACCCACGTATCCCTGAATGGATGGATGGATGGATGGACGGACGGATAAACAAAGTGCAGTTTACACACACTGCTATGGTTTGAATGTTTTTGGCCCCTCCAAAATTCATGATGAAACTTGGTCCCATTGCCACAATATTTAGACGTACAGCCTTCAGGGGGTGATTGAGTTGTTAGGGTGCAGCATTAGGCACCCTTATAAATGGGCTACCACAGGACGTGGCATTCCTCCCCTGCAGAGGACGGGGCAACAAGGTGCCATCTCAGAAACAGAGACCAGGCCCTCACCAGACACCGAACCTGCCGGCACCCTGATCTTGGACTCCCAGCCTCCAGAACCGTGAGAAATAAATTTCCGTTTACAGATTACCCAGCTCAGGTATTTTTGGTTATATCAGCACAAAGGTACTAAGATGCAAACAATGCACTATCATTCAACCTTAAAAAGGAAGGAAATTCTGACACAGGCTACAACACAGATGACCCTTGAGGATGTTACTAAGCTAAGTGAAATAAACCAGTCACAGAGGACAAACACGGTGATTCCACTTACAGGAGGTACCTGGATCAGTCAAGTTCATACGAACAGAAAGTAGAAGGGCGGCTGCCAGGGCTGGGGAGGGAATGGGGACTTGTCTAATGGGGACAGAGTTTCAGTTTAGGAAAATTAAAAGAGGTCTTTGGCCAGATGGTGGTGACGGTTGTATAATATTATGAATATATTTAAATGTCACTGAACTGTCCACTTAAAAATAGTCAAGATGGTTTTTATGTTATGCATATTTTGCCACAATTAAAAATAATAATACAATTTTTTTTTAAATGAAAAGCCCCACATCCAAGGACAAAGCGAGATGCTGGTCACACACCTCCCAGCGAGTCTCACCTGGGCCAGCAGCCAGTCCACCAGCTTGCTCCCGGGCAGCACCGACTTGTAGGTCTTCAGGTGGTAATCGCGGTCTCTGCGGAGAAAGGCAAGCGCAGGTGGGTGGCGGGGAGGAGGGTGGCGGGAGCAGCCCTCGCCACCCTGCTGGACGTGCCCAGGAGTCAGGGAGTCCCCAGCTACCCAGGCACCGGGCAGGGGTGGAGTCTCAGCCCACACTCCGCACTGAACTTGCAACCCCACCGAGGGCCGGGCCGCTCTACCCCAGACCTCCATCCACTAAAGAGTAGGCGACAGGAGGAGACGCTCTGGGACATTGCAAACTCTCTCTCTAACCAAGGGATCTCCGCTGGGGCGGTTCTGGCCTCCAAGGAACACTCCGCTATGTCTGGAGACATTTCTGGCTGTCATGACCCGGGGGGCCAGGGTCGGGGGTGCTAATGGCATCTAGTGGGCAGAGGGCAGGGATGCTGAACATCCTCCAAGCCCAGGACAGCCCCCCGACAGAGACTTATCCTGGCCAAAACGTCACTTGTGCCGAGACTGAGGGACCCTGGTTTACTCTAACAGAGCAGCGGGGAAAACTCTCAGTTGTGTCCTTTGCTTTAGCTCTTTGGTTGTTGACACTCGTGTTTAAAGGGGACAAACTATACGGACGTGGAAAGCCCTCTTCGTGGGGCTGGTGTGGGCTCCTGGGACCGAGCAGGGAGCCCTGTGAGGTCCACGGTTCTTGCCCGAGGCAGGCACTCTGCCCTGGTACGGCACCTACACTTCTGCCAAGCCTCGGTACGATCACTGACCTCACAGCGAAACTGCAACAGTTTCTCAGCCTTTGAAGTCGACACAAACGAGCTTATGCGGCGGCCAGCCTGTGTCAAGGCTGATAAAGAAAGTCTAGCTGGGGAGTTTTTCTCAGGCTTTAGGAACTGGGGGGGTCCAGCAGGCTGCATGCCCTGCCGCCCCCTCCTCCCAGGCTGAGGGGAGCCCCCGCCTGCCTCCCGGCGGTGGCAGGAGGGCAGCAACAGAGGAACCAAGGAGGGAGGCGGGTCTGGAGATGAAAGTGGTTCCCAGGGCCTGACCTTCCCTCCCTCACCTCCGCTCCTCTGAGAGGTGATAAAAGCTATCAGGACAGCAGGGCGGTGGGCACAGAGGAATCTGCAGCTGGGACAAGAACAGGTCACCCTCTCCATCCCTTTATCCACAACTTTAAGTTTCATGGTAATTTAAATTCATGGCATTTATGGTGCCAGGAGCCGCGCAAAGCGCCTCTGCAAAGCGCCTCTGTAGACGTAATAATCCTCACGGCAACCCACGAGGCACGAGCTGTTCTTCTGCCCATCTCACAGACGCAGAAACGGAAGCAAAACAGGGAAACAACCTTTCGACATTCACTCAACAATCGCGTACCGAGTGATACTTTGCCCTAGGCCCGTGCTCTCCAATGTATGGTCGTTTTAATTTAAATTTCAATCAATTAATATGAAATCAAATTAAAAATCACATTCCTCAGTGTCAAATGTTTAAAAGCTGCACGCGACCAGTGGCTGCCGTATCGGACAACACAGCCACGGAGCATTTCTATCAGCGTGGAAAGTCCTGCTGGGTGGCGCGACCGCAGTGCTGCCCAGGGTGCTGGGGACATGGCAGTGAAGACTTCCCTCGCCCCCCGTGAGTTTACGGCTCAGCGGGGGAGAAAGTACACAGGTAAAAGAGTATATAAGATGACGAGTAGTGAGCGGTTTTAAGAAGAAAACCAACACGAAGGAAGGAAAGAAGGACAGAGAGTACAGGGTGACGCTACTCTATAAAGGTGGTCAGGGAAGACGCCACTGATATGGAGACACCTGAAGGAAGTGAGGGGCAGACGTGGAGATATGGACGGCTAGAGCATCCCAAGCAGAGGGAACAGCAAGTGCAAAGGCCCTGAGGTGGCTCCTATTATTGTCCCCAGTCCGCAGAGGAAAGAGCTGAGACAGGGAGGTTCAGTAGCTCTGCCCAGGGCCCCACAGCTGGTCTCTAGCAGATTAAAGCTCAGCCCGTCTGGCTCCAGAACCAACACCCTTCACCACCACACTGCAGCGCTTCCCACAAACCCACTCACATGATCCTAACGACAGACCTACAGGGAAGGTGACTCCCAGCCCCATCTGATGGACAAGGAAACTGGGGCTCAGAGAGGTTAAGTTGTCGGCCCCAGGCCACACAGCTGAAAAGAGGCAGAGGAGAAGCTGAGCTTGGAAAGAGTAACTTACTTGATCACGGGGGTGTAGAGGCTGTGAAGACGGCAGTAAAGCCTCACACCCTGGAAGAAAAAAAGGGGGGATTCTGGGATCAGGCCACATCCTTCAGAAGCCTCCAAATCCAGGCTGCTGGGAGAGCGCAGGGTGAAGGGGGAGGCAGGGGAGGAAGAGAACAGGCCGCTGGGGCACAGGCCTGCTCTGGGGTGACTTCACAAGGTGACCTCATGGGGGCCCGGGTGGGGGTCCCTACCTTGGACATGATATCCTCCAGCTCACTCCGCGCCTTGAAGGTGCCGTCGTCGTAGCGGAAGCGATACATCACCTGCTCATTCTTGAACTGGTGCTTGTCAGAAACTGGGGGGACAGGGCGGGGGGCGCCATGAGGCTGGGCACAGCCCCTCGGCCCCTGCCAACCATGCTCCCACGTCACCCTTCGCTGGGCCGGGCTCCGGTCCGGCGTGATCGCACTGACCCCTCCCCACGCCCCAGTGAGGTGGGTGCTCTAACCTCCCTACTTTGCACACGAGGACTCTCCTGCTGCGTGTAGGGCCCTGCTGAGACGCGCAGCGTGGAGGACATCCGCAGGGGAAGGGGCCCAGAATGCACCTGGGCCAGCCTGCACTGGGACCCTTCTGGCTCAGCATGTCCTGAGACCTAGATCCCCAGTGGACGTGTGGGGGCCCAGCATGCTGGGCTATGAGACCACAGCTGAGATTTATGGAACCATCCCTGGACAACGGCCTTGAAGTCGTCCTTGATGCTTCGGATGCATGAGCAAAGCCTGTAAGGCCTGACCTTCAAAGTATCAGTCATCTGCCTCCTACACTCCCACCCTGGCCAGAACCTCCTGCGGCCCCCGCCTGGACGATTCCATCGCTGGGCTCCCTGCTGCCACCCTCGGTCCTAACAGGCCACCCTCCGCGAGAGGCCAGAGGGTTAAAGTATGAGGCTGAGCAGGTCTTTCCTCCACGCAGAGGAGCCTCCTCAGCAGCGCAGCCACCTCACTCAGAGTGAAAGCCACAGACCCTACGATCCCCCCCAGAGTCCCAGACCCCAGCCCCTCCGCTCTCCCCGTCAGCCCCAGGCCCTCTGCCCCATCTCCTAACACTCCCCTGCCTGCTCTTGCTGTTCCCTGAACAAACCGCTTAGACTCCTGCCTGGGGACTCGGCACTGGCTGTTCCCTCTGCTGGAAACACGGAGCCCAGCTGGCTCCTTCCCTCGCTGCTCAGGTCCTGGGCCCAATTCACCTTCTCAGTGAGGCCTTCCCCGACTCCCCTGCTCAAGACGGAACCTCGCCACCCACACTCATCCCCCTTCCCTCCCTCCCCAGACCAATCGCCACCTACACATACGTGTTTTACTATCTTGTTTATTATCTTCCCCTTCCGACTACAAGGTCAGCTCCACGAGGACAGGCTATGTTCACCTCTCCCGCTCACTGCCGTGTGAACGGTGCCTGCCACATGGTGGTTAAAACTTAAACAAAGGTTTCTTACTCTTTTGTGAAGGGACAGATAGAAAATTCTACTCCCCTACCCTCCACTATCTGAGGTGCCCCTCCTTTACTGGTGCCCCAGGTGAACGCCGGGTTTTGCAGACCTGGAAGCAATTTGATGAGAGCAACCATGTTTCTGTGGCCCACGCTGTGCCCAGGGAATGAGGCAGCCACACAGAAGCACAGAACAGCCTCTGGGTTAGCGGAAGCACGGCACTGCTGGGGTCTGGCCCGACCCTGCCCCTTGGCCCGGCTGGGCCCAGCCCCCACTCACCATGGTGGATAATGCCATTCTCCAGCAGGGCTTGGCCCAAGTTGACTCCTTCTTCCATCTTGCTGATTTCGCCAATTTCCAGGAGCCAAGCAACGAACTCACTGCCAGGAACATAAGATGCCACTGAGAGGACTTCCCCAATCCTGGGACCACAGGGACAGCACTAAGCTACCCACCCCAGGAAACACAGCAAGAGCTTCCCACAGGGAAGCAAAGCCTAGGACCCCACAGCCCTTAGGCTGGCACTGAGGCCTCATGCTTTCCTAGTTACCAGTGGCAGAGAGGTGGGTGCGACCAGAGCTCCGGCCTGCCTCAGGCTCACTGGATAGATGGATGGATGGGTGGAGAGGTGGATGGGTGAGTGGATGGATGAAGGGATGGGTGAGATGGGTAGGTGGGTAGGTGGGTAGATGGGTGGGTAGATGAGTGAGTGGGTGGACAGAAGGGTGAATGCAGGGATGGGCAGGTGGATGGACAGTTGATGGATGACAGCTGAATGAATGAACAGAGGTACAGGCAGGTGAATGGGTGACTTAACGAACGGACAGACGGATGACTTGATAGGGAGATAAATGGGCAGAAGGGAAGATGATGGAGGTGGATGGTCAGTGAACAGAAGAATGAACAGACGGATGGGGGTAAATGGGGTGGGGTGGACAGACGCAGGAAAGGAATGAAGCAGCAAGCAGGGAGAAATGACAGGAAAGCCTCCCAAAGGTTTCCCCATTACTCAACAACAACAAAAAAATCCAAACTCTGCCCACATGTCAACAAACAAGGCCCTATCTGCTCCGCCCCCAGCCCTGCTCATCTCAGCCCTACTCCTCTTGCTTACGCCTTAGCCATACTCACCACCTTTCCCTTCGTGAACAACGCCAGACTCCTGCCTGCCTCAGGGCCTTTGCACTTGCTGTTCCCTCTGCCTGGAAACACCCTTCCTCGACTCTGTGTGACTGTTCCTTTTCATCCTTCAGGTCTCAGTGCAAATGTCACCTCCTCAGAGAAGCCTTCCCTGACTACCTCACCAAAAATAGTCCCCTACCCAGACACAATCCATCACATCTGTTTTACTTCCTCTTCTGCACTTGTCACTGTCTGAAGTAATCTTGTTTACAGATTGATTTATGTGTTTATCAGCTAACCTGCCCAATCAGAATGTCCTCCCCATGCAAGCGGGGGTTTTGTCTCGTCCACTCACTGTCCCAACACCTAGAGGCAGGCCTAATGCACAGCGGGCTCAGTACTCATTCATTGAACAAAGGAAGGAATGAACCATTAAACAAGAAGGAACGTTCTGGGCTCTGCAGGAAGGTCTCAGGAAGCCAGAAGTGCTCACAAGCCAGAGGATGACAGGCAGCTTTTCCGACTCCAACGTGACTGTCCGGGGCACAGAGGCTCAGCCAGGCCCCCCGGTCCTGGAACTTGGGGGTGCTCCTCGGGCTCAGCAAAGAGCTCAACCCACTCGAGCCAGAGGAGAGGGGAAAGCCCGGAACGGGGCAGTTTCCGCCGAGGCGATGTGTGTGCAAGGGAGGCAGGTGGCAGCTGGCCAGAGCACGCGCTCCCCTGCTTATCGAAACCAGCTGTCCCACCTCCCATTACGGGGCCAGAGGGGGCAGAGCTATTTTTAGCTTCCCAGTGCTAGCTGAGCGGAGACCTGCCTCGCATGTAGGTAGCGTGTACGCGGAGGCATTCACAAAGCCCCAGCTGGAGGCACAGGCGGGCAGAGAAGAAATGGATCTGTTTTGTGGAATGGGATCCCCAGGTGGGGAAGAGATTGTTCTGGATCCTATCCACCCCCAGTTCCATTCTCAAAGTCCCAAAACTCAGGGACAGGGAGGAAGTTGCCAGCAGCTAAAGGAGGTGAGCAGATGTGTGCGTGCCCACTTGCGGAAGCTGGAGTCCCAGCGTCCGGTGGCCCACCAGCTGTCCAAATGGGGGCGGCCTGGCACTGACCAGCAACCCTGTGGCCAGGGTGAGGGGACAGGAAATATCCCACGACAGCTAGGGGAATAGAAGAGGACAGCCACTCTGACCCGTGTTTCTGCCCAGTCTGGGTCCTGCTACCTCCTTGGGGATCAAGGAGGGTTCACAGCTTGCTGGGCAAACTTGGGCAAGTCACTGTCCCTCTCTGGGCCTCAAAAGAGTCCATATGGCAAGTGGTTCACTCAGGGGCCTTCTGGATTTAGCAGGTAAACTTTTAATCATGTGAAATCTTAAGCTGGGATCCAGTATGCAAAACCCAGCAAAATTCATATCTAAGGCAGGGACCTCAGACTGTCGTAAATAGGCGAAACAGACCAGGCAGAGACTGTGCCAAACAGCCAGCGCCTGCTGCATCTGAAGGCGGCAGCCGCTCCTCAGTGGAGCGGACCGTGGCCACATGGGAAGACTATAGCATCTAACAACTTTTCAAGAGAAGGCGGAAATCCGGCACTTCCTGTGAAACCTCCCAATTGTTAAATGTTGATATCTAATCCAACATTTTCTGAAAACACCATGTGGGCCAAGGAAAACACGCCTGCGAACTGCCTTGGGTCCGCGGGGCGCCGTCTGCCACCTCTGGGGTGCAGGGGAGAGCGCGCCAGGCGGCAGGGCCGGCACACACAACGGCCCTGGGTGAGAAGTGAGCCTGGGACACCAGGCTCTGCCAGGGGACAGGGGGGCTGAGTGCAAAGCACAGCAAGGTCCAGGCTTCCAAAGACTCAGAACAGCGTGAGGGGAGATGAAGACACGGCGTGAGGACACCCCGCTCGATGGGGAGTTTGAGATTCAGGGATGGGGACGACCTGAGAGTCAGCACCTGTCAGCCTTCATCCCTCCTTCCGCCCTGGCCCCTGGCATCACTCCCCCAGTAAACGCTGACGTAGCCCACCACGTGTCAAGGCCGAGGCTAGACACAGGAAACACACAGCTATGCCTTTACTGTCTCGCTAAGAAAGCGCCCGAGCCAAGGCCCCACGTACCACCCACCACCCACCACCCAGCACGAGACTCCCCTTTCCCTGCCTGACCCTCGGTGGGCCGTGGGGGGAGAGGGCAGGGACTGAGGGTTTGCTATCCATCCCTGGAATTCCACTGCCCGAAGATGCTTCCTGAAGATGGCCATGTTTGACGGATCATTACTGATCATCTGTGCACGCTGATACCCTGCACCTGTGCACACAGGTGGCCCTGACAGCAGAGCTTCCTCCACCTCGGAGTTTTCGCCTGGCAGAACCAGTAGCTGAATGACGTCTAATCCGTCCAGGGTGAAACCAAAGGCCTTCTCCTCCCAGGAAGCTTCCTCTGACTGCCCCTGCCAGACCTTGTCACCCCTGGTCCCCTGAGCTCTGACAGCCCCAACGGTGCCCTCATTCTGGGCCTGTATGATAAGTTTCATACTCACCTCACTCCCCTACTGAGACTCTTCCAGTGGCTTCCCAGGGCACCTAGAACAAAATCTGTTCCCCTTACCGAGGCCCTGCCTGACGTGGCCCCTGCTGACTCCTGCAGCCTCGTCCCCCACTCTCCGGCCACTCACCGCCTCCAGCCGCAAGGGCCTCCTAGCTGCTGCTCCATTACTAACAGCTCATTCCAGCCTCAGAGCTCTTGCACCTGCTGCTCCCTCAGCCAGGAATGCTGTTCCACATCCCTCATGGCTGTCTCTTGCTTGTCATTCAGCTCTTGGTTAAAATGTCACCTCCCCTAAGAGGCCCTCCCTGCCCACACTGGATGAACCAGCCCCCCATTTCCTCTCCTCCTGACATCACCCTACTTATTTCCTTGTAGCATTCAACAACTTGCTGAAATTCCCTTCTTTATTTATATTTGTCTACTTTTCTACTGTGAGGAGGGCAGGGATTTTGTCTGTCCTATTCCCTGCTGGCACATAGCAGGGACTCAGTGAACAGAGTGAGTGAATGAATGAATGAATGAATGAATTTGTCTCCTCAACTAATCTGAGGATGCCACGTTCCTCCCATGCTATTCTCCAAAATAATACACAAATTTTATTCCATGTTTTTTCTAATGTGGCATCTATTAGTTTTTTCTGAGTAGGGCAGAAACAGGCCCCTCCTTAACCTGTATTTCTACACGAAACATCACCATGGCCCCACACGCATTCCCATCACTCTTGCCAGCACTGAGCACGTCACATGCGTCATCTCACTGTATCCTCCAACAATCCTACCAGGTATGTTTTATTATCTCTCTTTAATTGATCATTTACTGAGGCTCAGAGAGGTTAAGAAACTTGCCTAAAGTCACACAGCTAGAAAGAACCAAGGCTTTAGCCCAATTCTGACCCAAAGCCCAACCTTGAAGGTTATAAAGATAAATCAGACATCTTTTGTATTCAGAGTTCCCCATCCAGTAGCAGAGACAGATGTGCAGAAAGTAACTGCCAAGGACAAATGAAATGTGCTTCACAGAGATAAGAATGACTAAATGCAGCAGAGCACGGGGGACAGAGCACAGGTCTGGAGTCGCCCAGGCCCAAGTTCAAACCCCAGACCCCCACTGTGGCTTTGGGACCTTTGCCCTCTCTAGGGTTTAGTGTCCTTCCCCTTACAATGCGGACAATGGCGGGAACCTGCCTCACAGTGTCGTGTGAGGACTGGGAGACGTGGCCAGACCCCAGCATGTGGAGTGAGGGGTTTGAAAAACATGTCCTTCCGCCCAAGGACCAGCGTCACATCTTGGAGAAGGCTCGGTCTCTGGCCTGGCGGGGAGGGAGGATCGCCAGCCCAGGCTGGGTGCAAGCAAAGCCGTGCAGGGAGAAGAGTCTTACTAGAACAGCCTCCTGCAGGAAGTCTGGGCCCTACGGACCTGCGGTTATAAGACGAGCTGCGATCCTGGCCCTGTGTCAACAGGCAGTGAAAGAATCTCCCCTAATCCTTCCTGAGGAGGCAGAAAACTCTGAAGCTCTAATCACAGGCAGGTTATCCCATCCTGCTGGAAGAGGCCGCTTGGCAGGAGGCAGAAGGTTCTCCAACCCCAGGCGGCCCGGAAGCTGCCCCTCCTGAGAGGAAAGCCTCCTCTCTGCCTGGGATTAGGGATTAGCTGGCGGAGACCAGCCAGGCCACCCCCAGCCCGCAGGACTCCCAGGGCCCAAACTCTCTTCTCCACAGACCCTCTCAGGGAGCTCGGAACTGGAGTTCCTGACCCTTGAGGGCAACAGGATGCCTGAGTCCAAGGTACCCCCGCCCCTGAGACCTCCCCCTGCTGCCTCTCAACCACGAGCCTCAGGCCGCGACCGTCGGATCTCCCCCGGCTCCACACTCGGTCTCCAGCGGCTGCCCAATGTCAACACCGGACACCGAATGTCCCACAGCATTTCAACCTGGACGCGTCCAAAACTAGGCCCCTGCCCCTCTCCCGGGGACCTGCTCCCCACCCTCTGCCCCTTCCCTGCCCTGACCCCAATGCCCCCCGCCTCTCTGGCTCTTCCTCCTTCAACGTCATCGTTTGGCCCAGGGCCCAGGCCTGCCTCTTCCTCTCCTTCATTCAGTCTCGTGGCTTTGAAGACCATCCCAAGGCCATTTCCCACACTTAGGTCCCCAATCCAGACTGGTCTCCCCAAGTCAAGACTTTATATCCAACCAACAAGCCAGCATCTCCACTTGGGTGTTCAGTAGTCTCGAATGTGACCCGTCCGCAGTGGCGCTCCTGAGACCTCCTCCTGCCACCTTCCTCCTCTTCTCAAAGTAGCAAGTCGGGCCTTCCAGAGGCTCGGTCCTTAACTCCCTTCACTCCCCAGCCCATCAGCACACGCTGCTGCCCCTGCAAAACCATCCAGAACACAGCGCGTCTCCCATCTCCACTGTGACTGTCCTAGGTGGAGCCCAGCGCAAGCAACGTCCCCCCGGTCCCTAGCACCGTGACAATACAGCAGCGTCCACCAGAGGTCTCTGCAAAAGCCTTTGGGAAGGGGGTGGGGTATAATCAATCAATTCTAAATAAAATCCCTGCCTGGCAGGCACGCTTCTCTGCCAGCTGCACCACGGCCTTCGCGAGGTCGGGAGCCCCTGGGCTTCTTCCTCCCCAGGGTGTCTGGCACACAGTGGGGCCTCAAAACGGCTTGGCCATTCTATGGATTTCTTCTGCCTCCCATTCCCCAGCCCCTCCCACAGGTGTGGAGCCCGAGTTTAAGACGGTCGCCATGTCTTCTGACCCCTTCGATCCTGGCTTATAAAACGGGGTCTCTGTTTCCCCTAAACCGAGAAAGCAGAGGCTGAAAAGCTTCCGAGAGCCTCCCCTGCCCCTCACGTGTAACTCAGGAAGAGAGGCCGCACCAGGTGCCACCCGGCCAACACCTTGATCTCGGACTTCAGCCTCCTGATCCCGGACTTCCAGCCACAAGGCAAATTTCTGTTGTTTAAGCCTCCCAGTCTGTATTACAGCAGCCTGAGCAAAGAGGCTCTGCCTCTGCTCTTCCAGCCCTTCCAGCACCTTTGTGACCAATTCCTTGTGTTAGATACCTCTCTGCTTGACATGTCTGCAGTGGCTTCTCTTTTCTCAAGTGCTGCAGCAGCGTTTTTCAAACCACGGTGGGCAACCCATTCATGCTAATGAGTGTGAAACCAATGCCACGGGTCTTGCCAGCATTCTTTTTAAATGAATGAAGAAGCAAATAGAATAGAACAGAACAGAAACAACAGAATAAAATAGAAACAGATATTTTCAGATGGTATCAAGCACAGTAAGTTTTGTGAAATCTTGGCTTCAACCACATATTACCCAGATGTGTGTACCAGGTCACAGTGTAAAACTTATGCTTGGCAGTGGGGTGGAGGACCTGATCTGGGGACCCCACTGGCCTTCTTGACCCCTGAGGGCTGTTCCACAAGGATTCGGGTCCTTTTGTAGCCCTGCGTGGGTGGAGGTGGGCAGTCTGCCCCACCTCCAGCCGACAGCCCAGGGACCCAGGGAGGCCAGGGTGGGGCCACTCACTTGCCGAGGAAGCACTTGGGGACGGTGCTCAGCTTTCTCCGGCGGTCCTTGATCAGGTTCACCTTCTTGTTCATCATCATGTGGTAGAGCTTCTCCCCCTTCTCCGCAATCATGACGTAGGCGTCGCGCTCCATGCCCAGCTTCAGGCCTGCGCGGGGCACAGTCACAACTGGGGAGAGCAGAAGGCCCAGGGGGACACAAGGGGCAGGCCTACCACTGGCCCTCCACCTGCCCCCTGCCCTCCACCTGCCCCCTGCCCTCCACCTGCCCCCTGCCCTCCACCACGGCCACACCAGCAGACAGCTAGAGAGCACTAAATGACTGTCGGTCACTGCTCTAGGCACTTGCCATTGACTTCTCAAAGCAACCATTTTACAGATGGGAAAGTTCAGGCCCAGAGAGGTTAAGTCCTGGAGTAACAAAGGGTCGTACCTTCAACCCAGGAGTCAAGCTCCAGAGCTACGTTCTTAATCACCTTCCTGTGCTGCCTCCTGAACCCGAGGGTGGGTTTGCAAATTCAGGGGTCATCAGAAAGCCTCTTGGGGTCTTCGTTCCAGCCCAGCGATACAAGTCTGGTTGTTCCTCCAGACAATATACATAGGACCCTGACCCTAACATCTACCCACGTTTTTCTACTTGGATTCTTATCCAATCCTGACAACAGCAAAGACAGATAATAACAGCAAATGCTTTTATAGCACCTACTATATGCCAAGCACTCCTGACAAAAAAATCTGTAATAATGAGGTACTATGATTATCCCCATTTCACAGATAAAGAAACTGAGGCCCAGAGAAGTTAGGTCCTCTGTCCAAGGTTGCCTAACTAGGAATGGTGGAAGCAGGATTTAGTCCCAGGGAGTCTGGTTCCATACCTGTGCTCTTGACCATAGCACGCACCACCCCTGTGAGCCCAGCTCTGAGGTCAGGATTTGGACAACACCCAATTTTAACACCAAGACCCACTCAGGCCACCCTCTACCCATGATCCCATGCGCCCAGGTAGACCACAGCCCTCCATTCTGACCACAAAAGTACCGATCAGCCCCACCCAGGCCGGGCCACGCCCTGACCCTGCCCCAGTTCTGACCACACGCCCAGCCCTGATCAGTTTCAGAGCCACGACCCAGTTCAGGAGTTTATTTGGCCTAACGGCATTTCAGTAAACGCCGACGCAACACTGAACATCAGGAAACATCACCTAGAAAATCCAGGTGTCTGGCCTCTCTAGCAAAATGACCGACGGATCTAGGCACGCTGGGCCTTTGAGAGATGACGGCGCCGTGCACTTGGGCAGGGCGGGGGGAGGAGAGAAGCGGCAGACCCGGCTCATACTCGAAAGGCAGAATCGACCTGGGGAGCGGGGCTAGGGGGGCAGGAATGACACCGGGGGTCTGACTCTGACCTCCCGGGAAAAGGGAGGAGCCGTTTACTGACACACAAAGTCAGGGCAGACAACAGGGTGGAAATCGAGAGCTCTGACACGGCAGTGTGAGGTGTCTGTGACACATCCCAGCGGCGACTTCAAGTAGGCAGGATAGACACTGGGGAGAAACGAGGCCCAGTTTCCTCCCCTGTAGAACTGGGACGTGAGGAGGGATTTTAGGGTCATGCATCAAATTTCCAAATATGGTCAAACCCGAGGCCCCGTTTAGCAGCATTACAACGCTCTGCTGCAGGAACTTTGATCCCCATTTATCAGATGAGATCACTGAGGCCTCCAAACACTCCAAGGCCTCCTTGTTCCCATCAGTCCCCGCCCCCAGCCCACCCACCTACCACACCCAGCTCCTGTGCGGTCTCGTGGGAACTGCCTCGGGGGCACCTGTGCCCAGAAGGACTCCTGACCAAGGTCACTGGGCAGCCCCCAAGGACCCTCCTTCCAGACTCAGATCCAGTGACTGTCAACCAAAGAAAGCCTCAGGCAGAGGGCAGGGGGCTATGTGGGGGACAGGAGCATCTTGGGTTCCAGTCCTCAAGGGTGAAGACTTGTCACCCTTGGCAAGTCCCTTCTATCAGGCCTCAGCTTCACTGTCTGTCTAGTGGGTGACCTCTGAGATACCACCAAGTTAGAACAGTCTCGGTGCTTCGTGCCTCTTCAAAGACCTGCTCTTGCAGTTCTGACACTTCTGGAAGGGGCCCCATCCCCTTCCCTAGGCACGTGCCCCCTGTGCAGAACCCATGCACAGCCCAGGCACCCCGGGAAAGCCGCCAAAGCCGCCACTCACTCTCGCGCTGCTCCCGCTCGCGGATGATGGCGTCTAGCCACTTCTGCTTCTCCTCCGCCGTCTTGGCCATGCAGACGAACCACTTGTTCTTGGCCGTGTTGTGGATCTTCCAGCCGTTGGTGACGGTGTAGCCATTGCTGTGGTAATCCGCTGGCGGGGCAGAGGCGAAGGGGCAGCACAGGCTCAGCTGCAAAACCCTCACCGCTCCCCACCACGCGCTGGTGAGCGAGGTCACAGGCCAGCCCGTGACCTCCAGGACCACTCCGGTCATCACCGGGGTCAGGATTTAGGAGTTGGACTCTCAACCCTTGCAGGACTCACTCCCCCTCGTGGCCACTGTCCAGTGGACAAGGAAGACCTTCTGCAAACAAAGCCCCCTGCCAAGCCCTCAGGGACGGGGGGCTTCAAGACCTCATGTCTGGCACAAATACGGGAGTGACTCCTAAGGGGACACCTGCCCGGAGCCCGGGAACACTTGCCAGCCTTCTCCCCATCTCACTCGGGCGTGGGGTTACTGAACACCCTAGCACCAGCCTGACAACCCAAGGCGAGTGTGGCCCCAGCCCGCTGCTGGCTGGGATGGGAGCTGGCAAAGCTCTTGGAAAACAGGTTGGCACTGTCTAGGGAGGTGGAAGCCGGCTGTACCCCGAATCTGAGGAGGGGCCCACAGGGTTCATGAGGCTGCCAAAGGGGTCTGTGGCTCAAAACCAAGTAAGAACCCCTGCTGCCCTAGAGCAGCTCACGCACGTGCACTCAGAGATGCACACAAGACTGCTCGCGGCAGCGCTGCCCATGACCACGGGCGGTGGAAACGACCCAGATGTCCACCATCCACAGAATGGGTAAACTGAGGAATATTCATGCAATGGAATACTCCACAGCAATGGAAACCAACAAACGGTAAAGAGCTATGTGCAGCAACACGGGTGGAATGCACCAACACAGTGCTGGGGGAAAGAATCAAGATGTGAAAGAATGTGGACCGTATTTCACGACCATTTAAACATACATACAAAATTGTATGTAACCATATTTATATACATATATAGTCATACAGCCATTTATATAAGGTTCAAAAACAGAGACATTTTAATTATTTGGTAATATATACTTCAAAGGTAAAAAAAAATACTTTTAAAAAGCAAGAAAATGATCATCACAAAATTCAGAGTGGTTACTTCTGGGGGATGAAGAAGGCATCATGAAAGGGAAGGATTTGAGGGGCAGTGTTTCATTTCTTGAGTGCTGACTACCCAGGGGTTCACTTCACGTATCTGTGTTCTAGGCACTTTTCTGTAGGTAGGTTACATTTCTCCATAAGAGAAAAATATATTGAAATCAAACAGAGCGCGTGCAGGCAGCAGGCAGGGCTAGGGGTCGGGCCTACCTGTCCCATCTTCCACGTTCTCCACCTCCATGACCTCGGTGTTGATCCGACCCCGGAAGATATAGAGGGAGCCATTGATGGATTTGGTCCTCTTGGTGGACTTCTTGCTCCCAGTGACCCTGAAAGACAGTGAGAAGTCAGCGTCCCCTGCACTTCACCTCCCCAGACGCAAATGTTTTCAACAGCGCAAAGGGGAGCGAGCACGGAGGGGCGCCCGGGACGGAGGTTCTCCAGCTCTAACTTTCTTCACAGTTGTCTTGGCCCTTTCTGCTTCTGCATGTCCATGCAATCAGCTGATCATTTACACACACACATACATGCACACACAAACAACTGCCTCCTGGAATTTTTATTGGAATTGCACTGAGGTTCTGGACAAAGCTTGATGACAGAACAAAGAAGGCCTTGCTGATGGAGAGGGTAGCGGATGAGGATGGCGCAGAACAACTACGATACGGCTTTGGCTCCTGGTACGTTTTTTCTCCAGACTCAAGCTGCAATATCGACTCTTCCTGTATCCTGAGCCTGTCCATCTTATGAATGAAGCTACACCACCGGCTCTCCTGGGTCCCCAGCCTGCCGACTGCAGATCGTGGGACTTGTAGGCCTCCAAAATCATGAGCTGATTCCTTATAATGTCTCTTTTCATATGTGTGTGTGTGTGTGTGTGTGTGTGTGTGTGTGTGTGTGTGTATACATACATGCATGTGTATACATACACACATACACACATATCCTTACTGGGTCTATTTCTCTACAGCACCTTGACTAATACAGATTTTAGTACCATTTACTGGAAATGAGGAAGACCCAAGGAGGTAAAGGTTTGGGGCAAAAGTTAACATAAAAAACAAGAGCCCTATTTTAGACACCACTTAAGTGTGAGCTACTGGTGAGACACCCCAATGCAGATATGTATTTATATTTCTTCTGCTTCACCATGTACCAGGCATTATTCTCACCACTTTACATATGCCCTTTACATGTCATACTTACTTTATAAAAACAACCCCATGACGTGAGGACTACTTTTATCCCCACTTAACAGATAAGAAAACAGACGCGCAAGGAGCTGGCACAACCTGCCCAAGGTCACACGGCTAGCGAGCAGCAGAGCCTCCGTGCTCTCAGCGGCTACACGCTACCGCTGCCTCTGCGATGCTGAACAGGCAGCTGAGATACACGAGACGTAGCTCTTCTGGGTCCTGGCTTCCCCTTCTGTAGAACAGACTTGTAAAACACTCCCTTCCACTTTCCACTTCTGACCTCCAAGGAGCCTTCACTTCGGATTAGCCCAGAAGCGCTCTGAGTCAGAGACCTCCCCTGACCGTGTCCCGGACGGGTGGTGCCCTGCGTGACCCAGGCAGAGACAAAAACAGTCGGCAGACACCTGGCCACTTCAGGCGTTGCCCGTGACCACATCAGAGTCAGGCCGCGAGTTCCACCCACGACTGCCCAATCCTGGACCTCGCAGAGCTCAGCGCTCTGGAACCAGAGGCAGGAATGCTGGCCGCCTGCCAGGTGCTCTCAGGAGACAGATGTGCCCTTTCCCTCCAGCCGGCCGGGCTTATTTGCAGAACTGAGGCAGGGAATGGCCTTAAAAGAGCCCATGGAGGCCACAGGGAAGGTCCTAGAATCCACCTGGAATCCAGTACTATCAGAAGCCCCCACAGGTGAGATCGCCAGGGAAGCCGAAGGCTGAGCAACCTCAGCCAGACGCCGGGAGCAGGTCACAGAGGCCTAAAGGCACGTTCTGTTTTCCAAACCCCAGTGTTCTGGGAAAAGTGCCTGATTCAGACAGCCCAGGGTGAGGCAGCAGGGAAGGCTGGGGGTGGACATTGGCAGCAGCCTCAGAACTGCCAAAGGAGGACTCTCGGGATGGCCCCAGTGAGGACACAGGAGCAGCAGGGAGAGAGGAGGAGGGGCACTTATGGTGGGAGAAGAGGACAGGACGCAGCAACAAACAGACCTCAAGGAGCGGGCAGGAGCGAAAGAGCAGGTGAGGCAGAGACGTGCTGAGCCAGCCTCCCGGAGACGATGAGAGAGGGAGACCCAGCCTTCGACAAGGGTCAAAGGGAAAGGGCTTGTGGGTTGGGAGCCTACTGCTGTCCAGGTGCTGCACCCGTGGGATCGCACTGAGTAAGAAGCCGACTGTGCGGCAGTAGGTTAACAGCAACGTCATAGCAGCTCACCCTTAGTTTGTGCACTTACGTGTGCCAGGCACGCTTAACGTGTTTAGTGTCCACAATGGCCCCAATGGGGGTTGATCATCCCCATTTTACAGAAGAGAAAACTGAGGCTCAAAGAGGCCCACTGGAGGAAGGAGACGATGCGAAGCCACACATGCGCATGGAACACCTATTATTCATCCTGCTGTAAGTTCCTCACCAAACCTTAGGAGGCCAGCAGAAACAGACGAGGAAACTGAGGCTCAGAGACACTAAGTGACATGGCCCAGACCACAGAGCAAGTTATGGGTAACGCTGAAAGCAGGGCCTGGGGTTTGGACCTCAGCTCTAGCCTTTGCTAGACAGAGGAGTAAAGAAGCCTCCAGAAAGTCACCATTTCATCCCTAAGACAAAGTAACAGGAAAGAGAATTTGAAAACTGCTGCCTTGGTCAACTGAGACCATCCTCAACCCGCCGAGCAAGCAAACTGAAAGGCAGGAATCTCTCTGTCCACCAGTCCACCCACCCACCTACCCACCTCCTAACTTTCCCTCTCTCTGAATCATCCATCCATCCAAGCATCCAGTCATCAATTATGCCACCTTCCAGACCAGAGTCCAACCACCTCGGCAACTATCAACCAACCACCTACCCACCCATCAACACACTCATCCACACACCCATCCGATTAGCCATCTACCCACTACTCTCCAAACTCCACCGCCCACCCACCTTCCCAGTTACATAACCCCAACCATCCATCCATCCATCCATCCATCCATCTACCCGATCTCTGAACAAACCACACGTTAAGCCCCAACCCACCATTCACCTGAACACACCTCTGACAGTCTCCACATCCATTTCTCCAGCTGCCCGAACATCCCGTCTCCAGGCCCACCTGTGCAGCCCCGCCTCCGGCCTCACCTGGATTTCCGCTTGCAGTAGACCAGGAGGTTGTCGAAGAGGAAGAAGGCCCTCTCCTGGATGTTGCCTGCGGAGATTTTTAGCAACGTCCCTTGCAGGAGGAGCTGGGTGCAGATGTCGGTGAGGTTGGAGCCCTGGAAGAGGGATGAGGGTGCCGTGTATGAGCCGACCCGGAGGGCACCCGGGATCAGCCCCTTCCTTCCCCAGAGACAGAACCTACCACCACCTCCCTCCGCACTCCCAAAACTCCAAATGCACCTCTACAGGCAAATCTGCCAGCAGACAGAAAGTCAACACGACTTGATCAGTGGCTCCTATCTGCTGAGCGTGCCAAAACAATTGATACGACCACATGTCCCCTTTACAGGAGAGGGACTCGGGGGCCCAGCACACACAGCCGACAGCACGTCCTACTTGGCATCTTGTTGTGTTTTGGTTCCAGTTTTTGTTTTGGGTTTTTTCCCCACCTACTCCTTCCCCCTTATTTATTTATGCCTTGACTTGTTACTATATCTCCCCTACAAGAACGCCACTTCCATAAAGATGGCAACGATACCAAACATATGCCCTGCGTATTCCCAGCACCTACAAAACTCTCTGGCAAATACAGCAGGTGCTCAGCAAACGCAACATGCACCCCAACAGGGGCCGGATCCCGGGAGCGCTCGATCCCAAACGCCACCCAGCCCTTTATGCTGAGTGGCAGGGGTGGCTGAGACACTAAGTGTGCATGAAGTTCACCGAACTTCAGTGGGGTTCAGGGTGGCATCGGGAGGAGCCAGCCTGGCCTTGGAAGACAGAGAAGATAAAGAGGCTGGGGGTGGGGACGGGGACGGCACGGCCGGGAGGGGTCCCCCACACCTGGGGACCACACGGGTCTGTCCAGAGCTGCGAGGACCCAGGCAAGGGCAGCAAGATCCCAAAGTCCAAAGAGAGAGGAAGCAGGAAAGAGACCTTGGCAGGCACAGAATTCCAACTGAGGCAGCCCCTCCGCTGTCCCCCAAATCCATGCCCTCGTCTGTCATTCTGGGGGGTTTTCACTGGCACTTGGCTACCCAACCGCAGACTGCACTCCCCTACCTCCCTCCCTTGCACCAGGCGTGGCCCCAGTGCCATTGCACTTCCTTGAAAGAAAATTGCTTCCCTCTTCGTCCTTTTTCCTCTTTCCACAGGCTGAAAGGCAGAGGTAGGGGTGGTGGAAGACGCCGTGGCAGATCGGGGAGCCAGCAGTTGGAAGGAACCTGGGTCCCCAGGGCAGAGCCACCCCACCCCACCTGAGCGCCCACCCCTGCACCGCTAATGAGAAGTGCGTGTCATGCCCTCCTCAGCCGTGGACTCCACCCAACACAGTGAGGGGAGGAGAAGGGCTGCCTCCGACATCCAGGCCGAGGGGCATTATGCCAAAGCCGTGTCTTAAGGGAGATTCACGGGACAGACCTGCAGATCACACTAACGGGAGAAACAAAGGGAAGTGATGTTGTCCCCACCTGGAAATGAACTTGGGGCGGAGCGAGTGAGACTAACTCAGAATCTCCTCCCCCAACACTCAACACCCAGAACCAACAAGGAGTCCGACCCGTGAGGCTTGCTGACTCAGCTATTTCTGAGATGCCGTCAGGGGACCTAGGGAATCGCTGTCTGCTAACTGCCTGGCGCGGTCTCTCGCTGCTGTCAGGGCTGGTTTGCTCCGTGCCGTGGTCTAGCTGGATGCACCAAACCCATTCACTCGAAAGGGCCAGAAACTCCTCTGGGGCCCACTCTGGCTTTCTTATGGTCAAGAGCTGTGCAGCCCCGGACAGGAACTTGCACCCCTTAATGTTACAGCTACTGGCCTGGCCAGGGGCCCACGTGGGCACGGATGCGTGCATGCCACACACAGATCTCCGATGCCCACAGCACAGACTCGTGGCTGCCATGATGAAGAGTCCCTTGGACCCCCAGTGTCCTTGAAAACAGAGCAAAGGTGACCGCCCAGGTGAGGAGGCTCCACCCACAGCCCGTGGCCAGCTCAGGCAGGCACCAGTTCAGCAGTTCCTCGGCCCACGTGCCTCTGCCTCCCCTAGCCTCGCCTTACGCCCATGCACCAGCCCTTCCAGGCTCCAAAGGGAGATTTTAGCTGCTAGACTAGGAATCTGGTACCTGGCCCAGCTGCAGAGCCCAGGGCTCACGCAGCCCTAGACCTGAACCCCGCCACCGAGGCTGTCTCGGGGGACCTACGAGAAGAAGCGCACTCAGCCCGGAAGCTGCCTCTCGTCCTTGGCCAAGGACCACCCAGCAAACTGCATCTGAAACGCCAAGCACACCACAGGGGGTGCCCCCTCCACCCCAGTCCTGCTGAGAAGCCCTGCAGGACTCTCCGTCTCCCTGAAATCCTGAACCCAGGGCCAGGGTGGTGCTGGGGGTCAGACACACGGGGAAGAGGCTGCACACCAATGTGTCCCCCAGGCAGGGCTGGGGACCTCCTTCCAGATAACGCAAATTCAACCAGACTGAAGCAGTAACATTCAGAGATGACAAAAGCTTGTACATTAAAAGCTAATCCACGCATGGGGCTTACCCCACGCCAGGTACCATTACACGAACTCAGCTAATCCTTATGACAAGCGTCATTTTACAGAGGAGGAAACTGAGGCACGGAGCAGTGCAGTGACTTGTTCAAGGTCACACAGGTAGAAACGCAGCGAACTGGGATTGAAACCCAGACAGGCTGCCCGCACTCCCCACCCACGCTCCTCTGCCTCAAGCTGTGCCTTCGAAGGTAGCCTGAAGATTTTTCCATGCAATCACTAGTCTAGAGCAGGGGTCTCCAAGGGGGAGAGACCACATCCCACGAGAGCCCCCAGCATCCCAGGGAGGGTGGAAAGAAATATGACAACTTGTATTTAGAGTCTTATTTTTTTTAACTGATTTTATGTTTCCTCATTCCTGTTTCCTTCTCTGCCCCCGTGGGCGAGTTGGCAGCTGAGCGGCTCTGAAACCAGGGCTTCCAGGGCCAGGAGGAGGCGAGCTCCCTGCGTCTGTTATTAAGAACACACTTTTCCTTTTTATCACCGTGAGCTGCGCAGGAAAGCCCAGGGGGCTGGCATCTGGAGCGTCGCTCCGCGGGAGGCTCAGCCCACACGGGGTGCGGGCGCTGGTCGCAGCTGCAGGCTGCTCTTCCCACCAAGAGCAAGACCCCGCGCTGCCGCCACCGCTGCTCCTGACGCCGCTGAGCATTTGCCCTGCGCCAGGCACTGCTCTGAGCGCTGTGCCAGCGTCGACTCCCCAGTCCTCAAGTGACCCACAACGGGGGCACTGCCAACATCCGGACTTTCCAGATGGGGAAACTGAGGCAAAGGATCTCTCCACACACACAGAGGGGCTGTCTCCCTCACTTACTTCCAAGGCACTGGGACATCCTGTCATTTCCTTGTGCTCAGTAAAATGGATTTATGGATTAACTTATCTGGTTTTAACTAAACCGGTCTCATGACAAAAAAAGGCGTGAGTGGCTTACAAAGGGCCAGGAAAACACACACACACACACACACACACACACACACACACACACACGGGAGATTAAAGTAATGAATGACGCAAGCCCAAGCAAACAGCAAGAAAGTGGCCAAGGGAAGACCCCCACCCTGAGAACAAGCCCCTTGCTGGCCATATTCCAAAAAGAGATGACAACCTTTTAATCAGACCAGCAAGAGGTCACACGAAAAAGATTACACGTTATCAAGAAGAGCATCTGAAACGAGGATCTGCAACCACTGTCATTCACTGTGACTAGCCCCTAAGTCATACTGTCCCCAGACACTGTAACAATTGATAGCGTTAAGCCACTGCAAGCAGCTTTACTATTAAACATTATTTTTTCTAGCAAGAATGTATTATTTTCACAATGTATTATTTTCACCTTAAAGATCAAACTGTATTTAAAAACCTTTCTACTTCATGGAAAATCGTTCCACGTTTTCCAAAGGACATTCAAACACTTTATCCTTAAAATAAGACCAGGAGATAACTTCAGAGATACTATTACTACAATTAAACAAACAGAGGGAAATGAGGCCCAGGGAGCAGGACAAACTTACCCAAGGCGGGGCGGTCTGTAAGTGACAGGGCTGGGCCTCAAAACCAAGTCCCTGTGCCTCAGCTTCCTCACCTGTAAAATGGGGATAATAACAGCACCTCCCTGATAGTGTTGGAAGCACACAACAGGTGCTCAATAATTGCCTGCAATTCTTATCCCAGGTCACTTTATTTCCTACTGCACCCAGAAATGGTGATCAAAATAAGGGCCACTGATTTCTCAAACTGCAGATTTTCAGGGTCAGAAAGAGTTCTAAAGACCCTTAGTTCCTATTTCCCTAGGCCCTTACCATAAGAAAGCATCTGGAAATCACTTCTGCCCTGGCTGCCAAAGAGCTTGCTCAACATCCTCTCCACAGGGGCCCACGTGAGAAATTTCTTTTCCAGCTGAGTGCCAAGAAACCCTCTGTCTCCCAGAAGAACTGCTTCACTGCTTCCTTTTCTGACACTGAGTGTGAGGTAACTTATGTGTGCTGCTCTTTTCATGCTGGCTGCCAGGAAGCTCAAAGCCCAAACGGACAGATATTTAAATGAGTCAATTCTATCTGCTCTTGAGGTTGAAAGTGGCCATGTGACCTACTTCATTCTAGTCAATGAAATGAAAGGGAAGTCTTCCTGGGGCTTTCCTTCACTGGGGAGGAGAGCTCCTCTTACTGCCCTGACCATGCCCCTGTTTCTGGTTTCGAACACACAATGCCAGGAGCTGCTGCCTTCATGGAATCACGACGGAAAGAAGAGAATCAAAAGAGACCAAGTCGGAGCTTTGGCATCACGAAGCTGAGAGGAGAGTCCTTAGAGGACGCACCCCAACTGACACACCAGAGGATCAGGCAACTTTCAGTTGCAGGAAACAGAAATCAAGCTATTCATCTTAAGCAGAAAGGAATGAGGGGCTCACTCAATCACCAAAGGGGCTGGAGGAGCCAGGAATCCGGGGCTTCCAGAAACCCAACAACTCTGCAGAACTGGCCCGGCAAGGGAGCCGCTGCCCCTGCCTCAGGTGGGAAAAGGACAATCAGAACACACCTGCCCAAGCTCGCACTCCAGGAAAACGCTGCCCAGGTGGCATCTAGGCTCTCGGTTCTTGTCACCTCAACAGCCAGCTGCAAAGCCATCCCATGCCTGCTAGATACACAGCACCACCAATAAAAAGCATGGATGCCCCACGCCCCACACCTCGACACCCAGGAAGCTGGCACCTGCGCCCTCTACTGATGTTCCCAGAAAAGGCCGAACACAACCGTGGCCGTGCTTTGTTGCAAAAATAGCAAGAGGGTGGCCTCCGTCCCACTCCCACCTTGCAAATCCCAAGCAGCTGGATCTGATCTCGGCCAAACCCCGAATCACATCCAAAGCCCAGCTTCAAGGGAGTGTGGGACATGCAGCTCTTCGTTCCAGCCTCAGCCGCACAGGAAGGCCCCTCGGAAGGAAGGAGGAGGCGTGGCAAATGGATCGGCCCCTCCACGATACCCACCCCTTCCCTGGGCACATGGGCCTCTCCTCTCCGAGCCAACCCTCCACCTCACAGCCACAGGGCGTCGTGGAGGGAAGAACCAGAAATCCTACACAGCGCCAGCACCTGCAAAGGCCCACAGCAGACGATATACAGATAATCCTGCCTAAGCGTCTTTCATCTTCGGTCTTAATCTCCCATTCCAGCTGTATTTACTCTGGTATTAATTTCTTTATTTACTCATATTTTCCCATTTCCTTCTACAGATTTGTAAGAAACCTCTAACAATCTAAGGAAGGTGTAGGGGTTTAAACAAATAAATTACCTACTATCCAAAGATCTCAAGAAGCCCATCCCCTAATAATCATGATAATCTGATAAATGATATCGATAAATCTACCATTTATTGAGTACCTACTACATGCCAGGTATAGATGAGGATACTGAAGTTCAGAGAAGTTAAGCCATTTGCCTAAAGTCACCCAGCAAGGGAGTGTCAACGCCAGAATTCTGTCCTGGACTGGGCACTTAAACGCTACCCTTGACCTTGGTGTCAACAGCTCAAAGGACCACATAATCAAGCAGGTACGGCAATGCGTGAAAGAGAATGAGTGGGGAGCAATAGGGAAGGGCGGGGTCTGAGGAGAACGAGAGGCTCCAGTGGCTGTGGACAGGGGACATAGGTGCCCGCTAGTACCCATGTTTCCAGAGAAACTTGAAATCCGGTTTTTATGTGGAGTTAATTGAAAAATAATTGAGCGATTTTTTTACAAACACTGTGTAGGCCAAACAAAATACACTGCAGACGGCATCTGGTGCCCAGGCTGCCACCTGTGCTGGCAGCTGTGAGCCCCCGGCCCCTCTTGCCCTGCACGCACCTCCCAGCCTTCGATGTGGGACTGCAGCTGCTCCAGGGCTTCCAGCTTCTCCATCTGCCTCTTGGTCTCGTTGATGTTGGAGCAAACGGTCTTCATGGCCTGCAGGGCGCTCTGGACCGCGTGGTGGTCCGGGTGTTTGCCGGGGGTCCTCTTGGCCAGCTCCTGGGGTAGAGGTGGGAGCAGGGATGAGAGACATCGACCCAGAGGGGACCCGGCCTGGAGAACGTCACTCATTCATTCACTCTGTAAGTGTCGCCGGAGCGCCTCCCCCTGGGCAGGCGGTGCTCTAGGGTCTGGGGACAGACACGCAAACAAAACAGGCAAAAGTGCCTCGCCTGGTGGATATCTCATTCTATTAAAGGAGATGGGCCAAAATAAGAAAAAAATCGAGTGTATAACACAATGTCAACCAGTGCTAAATACTATGAAGACAATCAGAAAGCGGGGACAGGGAAGTGTTGTTTCAAATAGGGAAGTCAGGGGAGGCCTCTCTGAGGAGGTGACATTTGAGCAGAGACCCTGGATGGAGCAAGAGTGGGAGCCCTGAGGGAAGAGCATGCCAGGTAGAGGGAACAGCAAGTGCAAAGGGTCTGGGGTAGGAGCACAGACGGTGTGTAACCAGGAGGAGCAGGGAGGCAGTGTGTCTGCAGTGGCATCCATGAGAGAGAGAGAGAGAGAGAGAGAGCGTGAGCGCAACAGAGAGATCGGTGGGTCATAGAGGTGGCCACAGACACTGTTCCTCCTGCCTGTTTTCTTATCTGTAAAATGGGTGTTAAAAATACCTCACCCTCCCAGGGACGTGGGAGAGGGCGTGCAAAGTGGCCAGTCGGCTCCTAATCCACAAACTCCCTGCCCCCCTCAGTCACCCCTCACCTCGGGCACACGCTGGGACACTCTAGCGGCCAGGCCAGCCTTAATCAAAAGACTTCAACGTGACGAGAGAGGCACTGAGGAGGAAGGGATCAGCGGGGACTCGGGACACCAAGGAAGGTTTTCAGGCTGAATCACCCAACGGCCAGCCGTCAGCCCTTCACCCGGGACCGTGTGACAGACCCAAGTTTCTTTAATCATCTGTCGCAGAGGGTGCCTAACGGCTCCAGGATCTGCCCACGGCCCCACCTCTCTGCTCCTGTGACAATCACAGATAACGTCCCCCGCAGACATGACACTTTCACGGGGTGGTGACACGCACTGGCTCTGCCCTCAACTGGGTGGCCCTGGGCCAGTCACCCTTCAGCCCTGAGCCTCAGCTTCATCATCTACAAACCGGTGATGATGAGGATGACGGTGACAACGACGGCACCAGCTAATGCCTACTGAGCCCTCACTCTCTGCTTGTAAGGCAGACTCCACCATTACCCATTTGACAGATGAGGAGACTGAGGCACGGCAAGATAGCTCAAGGCCCCAAAGACATTTGAGGCAGAACCGAGATCTGAACCAGGCCATCCGGTTCTGCTCATGGCTGTGGCGAGGGACAAATGAGAGACTGCAGGAAAGCCCCAGCACGGGCACAGTAAGCACTCAGGATGCGCTAGCTATTGGCGTTCTGGTTGTTGGATGGCAGTACACGCTGGCTGTCGTCGTGAGCTGCAGTTTGCCGCGAATGGGTGTGGTCTCAGCACTCCCTGCAGAAAACCACCTCCAAAAACAGCCCTTCTCCACTCACTTCATTTTTGCCCTGCCTGAAAATGAACGTCCCCTTTTCTGAAAACTGGGTCCTAATATTCCCGAGGTCCAAATGTTCTGCCCCATCAGGCCCCGGGGCTTTGCTGAGCCCCTGCTGTGTGCCCAGGAACCTGCCAAAGGGATGCGAGGGAGGGAGAAGCCCGAGCCCTGCTCCTCCGGGGGCCCCAGCAATGCGGCTGGGCAGGAGCTTCCGCGGGAGTGGGGGGCTTTGGGGCATTGGGGGGTGCAGATAACAGCCCTGCGTGGTGAAAACACTCATGATACAATAAATCGGAAAAGAAGAAGCAAAGCCGGAAAGGCTTCCAGGAGGAAGCGACATGCAAGCAGGCAGGACTTGGTTGGGGAGGTATTATTTCAACCCACTCTTCACTCAGCAAACACTGGCTGAGCACCTGGGCTGCGCCTGAGCTCTGGGGGTTGGGCAAAGACCAAGACAGCCCCAGGCAGCTCACAGCCAAGAGGGCATGGTCAACAAGGTGAGGACAACTACTACCAATAATAATAATGGCTAATAGTGAGCACTCACGCTCTTGTCGAGCTCCTGGGATCCCCACATCAACCCTGTGAGGTAGGGACTGTTATTACCCTCGTATGACAGATGCAAAAACTGAGGCACAGAGAAGTCAGGTCACTTGTCCAAGTTCACACAGCAGATCTGAGTCCAACCACTTTGGCTCCGGAGTTTGCGCTCTAAATCCCTGTACCATTTTCAACCTTTCAGACAGTTAAATAGGAATCCTTTCCTCTCAGATAAATACATAATGTATATTAATTCAAGGGACAGAGAGAGAGGGAGATGCCGTGGTCTGAGAAGGTCTCACTGAGGAAAAGGGCTTATGGGTGGAGCTTGGGAGAAGTGAGGGCATGAACCACACAAACATCTGTGGGGAAGCACACCAGGAAGGAGAGGGGCATGAGCAAAGGCCCTGAGGCAGCGAGAGACAGCAAGAGGCTGGTGAGGCCGCAGCAGAGTGAATGAGAGAGGGATGGACAGCGACGCTGGACTGCCTCGTACAGAGAGAAGCTCAGGCGTTGTTGAGACCACTGTTGTTCAAGGGCTCTGTCACTGCAGCTAAAATATATCCCAGCATAAAGAGACCCTACCTTGGGGTGTCACTTAGTATAAATTGCCCATGAAATTGTGTCCTTCCTCCTGTCGGCTCTACTTAGCTTGGCCGTCCTGAAATGCTGGAGTGAATTAACTTGCCTCCCAGTGACCCCAGCAGGCAGGTGCTTTGATTAGCCCCACTCGATGTGAGGAAGCAGAGGCTGACGCAGAGACGAGGCCACGGGTCCCAGGTTGCAGCCAGCTAAGCAGCCACCCAGTCCAGCTCCAGAGCTCACACTGTTTAACCACCACTCCATGATTCCCCAGCCTGAGTCCCTGGGCCTCTCCCCACTGCCCCCCTCAAGCGGGAAGCCCCCACCACTTTTATTCTTGAAACTAAAACCCGCCGCGCCCCTCTGATGGACACTGCCACCGCATCTGCTCCTCCCAAACCCCTAGAAACTGGGATTTCAGTGATCCTCCTTCAGCGGGTTCCCTGTGTGGCTGCCAACACCCAGGAGATAGTAAAGATGAGAAAAGGTTATTTCCCCCTTTCGTATATGGATGCCTCCGCCTCGACTCCTGCCCTAGGCCAGCACCAGGGATGGGGAATTGAAACCAAGCAAGACCTGGCCAGGCCCCTGGCTCTGCCCCGAAACTGCAGGAAGTGTCGGCTTCGGTGTCTCGGTTCACGGGGGGCACGTTGCTCCACTCTGCTGAGTTCCAAAAGTTGAGGGCCCGGCCCTGCCTCTAGGCCTGTGCACGTGTGGTTTCCTCTCCTGGCACACTCTTCCTCCAGATGTTAAGAGGCCACACAGTATTCCGTAAGGATAGGCACATAGATCAGTGCAAAAAGGACTGAGAGTCGAGAAAAAAATCCCTACATTTATGGTCAATTAATTTTCAACAAGGATGCCAACGCAATTAAATGGGAGAAAGAACAGTCTTTGGAACAAATGATGCTAGAACAACTGGATAGCCATGTGAGACAGAACGATGTTAGATCCCTTCCCCACACGCACACATAACTCAAAATGGATCATACGCTGAAATTTAAGGGCTGAAACTATAAAACTATTAAAAGAAAACATAGGCATAAATCCTCGTGATCTCAGGTTAGGCAAAGTGTTCTTAGATGTGACATCAAACGCATAAACAACTTAAAAATAGATAAACTGGACTTCATCAGAATTAAAAACTTTTCTGCTTCAAAAGACACTCTCAGGAAAGTGAAAAGACAAGCCACAGGATGTAAGAAAATAGTGTGGATTATGTATCTGATGAGGGACTCATACCTAGAATATATAAAGAACTCTTAAAACTTAACACGATGAATAATCCAATTAAAAATAGGCATAGGATTTGAGCAGGCATTTCTCCAAAGAAGATACACAAATGGCCAATAAGCAGATGAAAAGATGAATAAACATCATTTGGGGAAATGCAAAACAAAACCATAATGAGATACCACTTTACATCTACTAAAATAGCTATAATCAAAAAGATGTACAATAACAAGTTGGTGAGGATGTGGAGAAACTAGAACCCTCATATATTGCTGGCAGGAGTATAAAATGGTGCAGCAGCTTAGGAAAACAGTTTGGCAAGTCCCTTGTGACACTCTGATGCAGCCACACCTGAAGCCATCTATCCATATATTTTTTAATTATGTGAGCCTATATATTTTTTTACATGTATATGTTGCTTAAGCCTACCTGAGCTAGTTTTTCTATGTCTTACATTTGAAAGAATTCTTACTGCTCCACAATCTCAGACAGAGCTCAAGGATGTGGAATCCCGAAGGTGTCCCAGTCCAACACGGACAAGCATAAAACATGGGTGTCTTTCTTCAAAGCTAATGGGAGTTCGAGCTGCACTAACAATGGTCTAACATGCAAAAGGAGGGAGGTGAGGAGGTTCCTGCTCAATTCGGAACTGATCAGACCATCTTAATAAGTAGAACAGAGTCAGGTTCAAAGGAGACAAACCATGGTGTTGAAAACTCTAGAATCACAACCAAAGAGGAACAGCTACATGAACTTACAGGGCCTGGCCAAAGAAGAATATTTTTGGAAGGAACCCAAGAGCTGCTTGCTAAACATCTTGGGAGGATTACACGACTAAGAAGCCCACTGGATCCGTAATACCACAGAGAGTCCAATGGGACCAATGCAGGAGACAGCTATCTGATTGAGTTAATCCATCCTTACACCAACCGGAGTTCTCTGACAAGAGAGGGGGCTGCCTTATAAGGCAATGAGTTCCCCATCACTAGAGGTATCCATAATCGATTCAGGCCCACTTATGCCTTATTCTAGCTCAAACAGCACATGACATCACAAAATTGGACAGCCTTGTGGTCAAGACAATGGGTTCTGAGCAAAGGAGGGTGTGGTCTGAGCCACACTCCACCACTTCTCAGCGG